CAGGGACCCCACACCTCCCCACTCAGGGTTCCACACACCCGGGGACCCCACACGTACCCACTTGGGGCTCCACACACCCAGAGACCCCACACCTCCCCAGCCGGGGGCTCCACATGCCCAGGGACCTCCCAGGGTCTCGTGTTCACACAGCTGCTCACTCTGAAAATCTAAGTAAAAAGCAAAACCCCTCTGACCACTGCCCCAGTTTTGCAAACTGGAACGTGGAGCAAACTCCTAACCAGGGCCATACACCTGGAGACCCTCACGAGCAGCCAGTGCCAGGCCTGTGACCCCACGTGACCATCACCGGGCGGTCACTCACACCAATGGCCTCCACAGGACAGCACCTGGGTGGCGAGGTGCAGCCTTCAGGCCCCTCCCGAGCTGGGGCCGTACATCTCCCTGCACCACCGCACCCTGCGAGGCCTGGCCCTGGCCAGTGTCCATGGGGGCAGGAGCATGGTGGCCCCTGGATTTCTCCTGTCTAGTTTAGAAAGCAGCTGTATGTGCCCTCTCCCATGGGAGGGACACACCCTCAGTCACTGCACGGTGCTGAGCACTCACCCAGGGGCTGTGGGCCGCAGGGACGGGGCCAGCTGAGCCCAGACAGCCCAGCACTCACCTGGGCGGGGGCCCCTCTGCACTGCCTGCAGCTCAGGTCTCTCCTGGTCTTCAACCCACGGCTCCTCCCACTGTTCCAGGCGAGAGACGAGGTCTGGTCTGGGGCTGCAAAATCCTTCTCCAAGGAGAGAAAAGGTTACATTTTACTTGTACTAGGACAAAATGAGGGTTCAGGCTCGGAGCAGTTCTGCCGGGAGGCCCTGGAGAAGCCACTCCTAAGCAGAAATGACAGGAAGGGAGGGGCCTGGACACCAAGGCCACAGAAGGGCTGGCAAGGTCTGAGGAAGGAAGATGAGGCTGCCTCCAGGGTGAGTGGGCCCCTCTGTCCACATAGCCCAAGAATTTGCAGCTCCTGAGCCCCCTCGGCTGGAAGGCCCGACTATCATCCCAGATCACCCAGGCCCAGAGGCAGCAGCAGAACTTACCCAGCACTCACCACCCAGCACTCACCCAGCGCCCACCCAGCACCCAGTCTGCACCCACCCAGCACTCACCCAGCACTCGCCCTGCACTCACCCCGCGCTCACCCCACGCTCAACCAGTGCTCACCCAGCACTCGGCCAGCGTTCACCCCACGCTCACCCGGCGCTCAGCCCACGCTCACCCAGCGCGGCCACATTGCTGAAGTTGTCCAGCATCACGTCCCGGTAGAGGGCCCTCTGGCTGGGTTCCAGACACTCCCACTCCTCCCGTGAGAAGTAGACGGCTACGTCCCAGAAGGTCACTTGCTCCTGCAACACACACAGCTCCTGAACTGGCCTTTCCCAAGAAAAGGAGGGCTCAGCCCACAGGTCTGGGCGGGAAGGGAGAATGGGGGTGGCCCTGATATGAACAGATTGTGTCCCCTAAATCCATGCACTGAAGCCCGGAGACCCAAGTGGCTGTGTCTCGGGCTGGGCCTCTGTGGAAGAGATTAAGGTTGTGAGGTCAGAAGGTGGGACCCTGACCCATGGGCCTGGTCCTCACAGGAGGCTCCAGAGGGCTCCAGCTCCATCCCTGCACACGCGTGAACACAGCGTAACAGCGGCTATCTGCAAGCTGGTCACTGGCCCCTGCCAGAAACCGAATCTGCAGCACCCTGAGCTTTGACATCAGCCTGGAGGACAGACGACACACACGTGTGTAAACCGCCCACCATGTGGTGTTTTGTTAGGGCCGCTCTGGTGGACTAAGAGCACCTGAGAGAATCTAGTTCATTTTCCTGTAACAGCCACTGCTTTCCTAAGGTCAATAATGAATCCGATTTTCTTTTCTCTTCTCCCGCCCCTTAAGAGAGAAGGCAAAAAGAGGGACATGCGCACGATGCCTGGGAAGTCGCAGCCACAGACCCTCCCCGCGTGTGCTGGTGTCTCAGGCGGCCGGCAGGGCAGGGGGAGGCTGTGCTCAGCAGCGGCAGGGCTCACCTGGGCCACATCCATGGGAACAGCGAGGCCACCCCTCTGCAGAAGCACAGCACCAAGGAGGGCAGATCTGAGGAGACAAGAAATGTGAGCGGGTGCAGTGGCCTGGGAATGACCCCAGGACCCCCCACTCAGCAAATCAGGGAGAATTCAGGAAAAATCAGTGATGCACACGTAGGGTCTGCTCTGCAACTACCGACAGCCACCAGGTGTGGGGAAACTCGGGGGTGGTGAGGGGCCAGCCTGTCTCTAGGTTAAGGGACAGCTGGCCACCTCCCACACACAAGAACTGTGAACTACCAGAGCAAGCCAGGCCTGTCATCAGAGGAGGACAGAGGCCAGCCACTGCTGGCTGACAGCTTAGCTGTAAACACATGACCGGAGAATCTGACCCCAACCGAGGCAGCTGGGCTCCTCCTCAGGAGACAGGCAGGGCAGCCCATGTTCTCAGGCATGCTACAAGGAGGCCACCTCGCAGCCTTCCCCCTGGTGCAGCCCCAAGAAATCCCATTAATCTTCACTGAGTCTCCAGATCCAGCCACAAGCTCCCTACACCTTACAGCCCAGGCCCGTGGAGAACCCCTCAGCATCCCACTGCTCTCCTGCCGCGGTGGGTCCTGACTCCTTCCGGAGTGAAGCTCAGAGCCCCAAGATGCAGAAGATACCAGCCCCACAGCGCCCCTGAGGAGAGACAGAACCAGCTGGAGGAAGATGGCCCATGCCTGGTCACTTTGTCAGACGGAGGAGGGGAGATGTCATTTTGGCCCCTACAGACAGAAGAATCATAAAGGGCCATCAGGAGCAAGTCCTGATAAAAAGGGCCATGAGGAGCAAAGTATGCAAACAGTATTAGGAAACTGACAAAAGAAAGGGGAAGCCACACAGCCTTCTATCTGTTGGGGCAACTGAAAACGTAACTTGAACCCTTCCCTCAAGGAAAATACCACACCCAGCGGGATTCCCTGGTAGACTCCACCAAAGCCAACGGAAGCACAGTACTGATCTTAGAAGCTGTTTGCAGTGAACAGAGGAAGAGCAGATGCTATCCAGTCTGTCTGAATGAGGCCAGCAAAACCCAAACCAAAAACCTGATAGAGATATTACAAGGTGCCAGGCATAGTGGCTCACGCCTGTAATCCCACACTCTGGGAGGCTGGGGCAGGAGGACTGGCAACACAGCAAAACCCTGTCTCTACAAAAAAACACAATAATTAGCAGGGCGTGTTGGTGCACATATGTAGTCCAGCTACTCAGAAGGCTGAGGTGGGGAAATTGCTTGAATTCGGGAGGCGGAGGTTGCAGTGAGCCGAGATCGTGCCACTGCGCTCCAGCTTGGGTGTCAGAGTGAAACCCAGTCTCCCGGAGTGTGGGATTACAGGCGTGAGCCACCCTGCCTGGCCCCTTGTAATATCTCTATCAATGGTTTTTGGTTTGGGTTTTGCTGGCCTCATTCAGACAGACTGGATAGTGTATGCTCCTCCTCTATTCACTGTAAATAGCTTCTAAGATCTCAAAAAAAAAAAGATATTACAAGAAAATTATCTACCTCTCTCATAAACACAAATTCTTTTAAAAAAATTAGGAAGTCAAATCTAGCAGTTTATAGAAAAAATTCTCTGTCATGACCAAGTGACGTGGACCCTAAGAGTGCACAGCTGGTTTGATTCCCATTAGCTGCAGCTGGTGACCAGGAGGCTCCTCCACCACCTGCGCTCAGCACTGGGTGGGGGAGGCCTGGCCGCACTCACCCCGCCCCCTCATCCCTCCTACCTCCGGCACAGCAGGTTCTCTCCTTCTGACACTCACGGGTAGTTACATTAACTGCAACGTGTTTTCATGAATATGCTTTTCAACTGGAGATTTTTTTTTTTCACTGTTTCAAGAGCACGGCATCAATTGTGATCACAATGACTTCCCCAATATTTGCTGTCACTTGAAAATGACATTATAACCACAGTGACAAAATAAAGGAGAAAACCACATAATTCCTATTATCTCAATAGATGCAGAAAAGGCATTTGTTAAAATTCAACACCTATTCCCAACAAAAACTCTCAGCAAACAAGGAGCAGAAGAGAACTTCCTCAACCTGGGAAACCTGCAGCCAGCATCCTGCTTCACGGGCTGGCCGATATGGAACCCTTCCCCTCTGAGGCCAGGGACAAGCAGGGTGTCTGCCTACAGCTTCTCGTTATCATCTTATTGGAGGCCTGAGCCACCGCAAGGGGACAGAAAAAATACGTAAAGCCATAAGATCAGAAAGAAAGAAGGTCAGGTGCGGTGGCTCACGCCTGTAATCCCAGCACTTTGGGAGGCCGAGGCAGGTGGATCACCTGAGGTTAGGAGTTTGAGACCAGCCTGGCCAACATGGTGAAACCCTGTCTCTACTAAAAATACAAAAATTAGCCAGGTGTGGTGGCAGGCACCTGTAATCCCAGCTACTTGGGAGGCTGAGGCAGGAGAATCACTTGAACTCAGGAGGCAGACGTAGCAGTGAGCAGAGGTTGCAATAAGCCAGGATTCCGCTACTGCACTTCAGCCTGGGCAACAGACACTGTCTCAAAAAAAGAGAGAAAAGAAAAGGCTTATAAAAGAAAAAAAAAATCAGTCATTATCTTCATAACACTGGGGTAGGCAAAGATTTCTCTCATAGACCCTCAAAAGCACTTAAAAAAAATTACAAATCGGATTTATCAGCATTAAAAATTTTTGCTTATCAAAGCAGTTAAGGAAAAAAAGAGGAGACTGGGTGCAGTGGCTCTTGCCTGTACTCCCAACACTTTGGGAAGCTAAGGCCGGAGGATTGCGTCAGGCCAGGAATTTGAGACCAGCCTCAGCAACACAGGGAGACTCTGTCTCTATCTTCTGATTTAAAAAAAAATTTTTAAAAAGAAACACAAAGGCAAGCCACAGACTAAGAGGAAATATTCCCAATACATGTATCTGACAAAGGACTTATATCCAGAACTGTAACTCCTACAAATCAATAAAAAAAATAAAACTAGCTTTGTGCAGTGGCACTATCGTAGCCAATGAGGTTTATCTGAGGAGCAATTATTGCTAATTGAAAACTTTTCCCAATACCCCGCCATGACTACCTGAAATATAGTTGGCGTTGGCAAATTTTGGCAGTCTCTAAGGACACCGAATCATAAAAAAAAATAAAAAAATAAAACTTAAACTCGGCAAAATACTAGAACAGACACTTCAAAGTTATACAGTGGTCTACAAACACATGAAAATGCACACTGAGCACGTGGGTCATGGGTGGCGTTTTTGAATCAAACTCTGACTTCCTCTAGCAAGTAGCAATGACTGCAGTGATGAAAACAGCCCCCGGCTGGGCGCGGTGGCTCACGCCTGTAATCCCAGCACTTTTGGGGGCTGAGGTGGGCAGATGATGAGGTCAAGAGGTTGAGACCATCCTGGCCAGCACAGTGAAACCCTGTGCTACTAAAAATACAAAAATTAGCCAGACATGGTGGTGTGTGCCTGTAGTCCCAGCTACTCAGGAGGCTGAGGCAGGAGAATCGCTTGAACGTGGGAGGCGGAGGCTGCAGTGAGCCGAGATCGCACCACTGCACTCCAGCCTGTGTGACAGCGCAAGACTGTCTCAGAAAACAAAAACAGGCTAGGCGTGGGGGCTCATGCCTGTAATCCCAGCACGTTGGGGGGCTGAGGCGGGTGGATCACAAGGTCAAAAGATTGAAACCATCCTGGCCAACATGGTGAAACCCCATCTCTACTAAAAAATACAAAAATTAGCTGGGCATGGTGGCGTGTGCCTGTAGTCCCAGTTACGCGGGAGGCTGAGGCAGAAGAATTGCTTGAACCAGGCAGGCGGAGGTTGCAGTAAGCCGAGATAGCGCCACTGCATTCCAGCCTGGCGCCTGGCGACAGAGCAAGAATCTGTCTCAAAACAAACAAAAAAAACCCAGCTCCCCTCAGCTGAGCAGCTGTGTTTGCACCACAACCTGGGCTGAGCTTTGCAGTCTGGAAAGCCGAGTAAGGGGAGAGAACCATGAGATAGGTCAGGAAAGGAGCTAAGGCCAGATGAAACCTGAGACATGGTTTCATGTGCAACGCAACAGAAGTTTTATACGACACAACTTTAATAGAGGAGAACAGAAGGATATTGTCATCAGCTACCTTTTTTTCCCCCCTGGGCAAATTAACACAGGATTTTTTTTTTCTCTGAGACAGCATCTTGCTCTGTCAGCCAGGCTGGAGTGCAGCAGTGCAATCATAGCTCACTGCAGCCTCGACCTCCTGGGCTCAAGTGATTCTCCCATCTCAGTCTCCCTAGTAGCTGGGACCAAAGGTGCATGCACCACCATGCTCTGCAATTGTTTAAATTTTTTGCAGAGACAGGGTCTCACGATGTTGCCCAGGCTGATCTCGAACTCCTGGCCTCAACAGATCCTCTGGCCTCAGCCTCCCAAAGTGCTGGGGTTACAAGTGTAAGCCACAGCACCCGGGCTAAGCTACATTTTTGTTTTTGTTTTTTTTAATGAGATGGAGTCTCGCTCTGTAGCCTGGCTGGAGAGCAGTGGCTTCATCTCTGCTCCTTGCAACCTCTGCTTCTGGGGTTCAAACGATTCTCCTGCCTCAGCCTCCTGAGTAGCTGGGATTTCAGGCACGTGCCAGCATGCCAGGCTAATTTTTGTATTTTTAGTAGAGACAGGATTCCACCGCGTTGGCCAGGCTGGTCTCGAACTCCTGGACTCAAGTGATCCACCTGCCTCGGCCTCCCAAAGTGCTGGGATTCCGGGCGGGAGCCACCGCGCCTGGCTAAGCTACATCGTTAAAAAGAGCCTCTGTGATGAACAAAGGAGAAAGCAGCAGAAATGGACGGGGGTGGGGAGGAGACAGGGAGGCGTCCGGGCGAGGGAGGAAGGCGGCCAGGATGGGAACGGCGAGGAGGCAAACGGTTCAGGGACGGGCCCAGCGCACCAGCGCCCGGCCGTGCGGGGCCGCGGCGGACGGAGGAGGAAGTGCACCCCGGGTTGCTGCTCCTGCCCTCCGCGGTGGGACGCCGCGAGGACCGGTGGGTGGGGGGAGGCTGCAGGAGCTCAGCCCCGGGCCGGGGAGCTCGGGGTGCTCTGACCGAAGTCTAAGCGCGCGCGTCTCACCGGGGCGTGCGGGCTGGGGGCGCCGGTGGGGAGCGGTCTGGGGGCAGCTGAGGTCACGGCCGTGGGCGCGGTCAGCCGGGGTCCAGCTTCGGGAGGAAACGCCACCGGCTCCCGACGAACCTGCAGTGTAGGCGGCGCGGAGAGAGCAGGCGGCTGAGCCGGGAGACTAGGCGGGGCACCGGCAGCCGCGACGCTGGGTCTCACAGCCCTGGGGCGGCCGCACACGGAGAAGGTCCGCCCGCCCGGGACCCGGGGCCCACGGCGGCCCGCACGGGCGCACTCCCCAGCCGGGCGTCCGCAGCAACGGCCAAGCCGCGCCGGCAGCGCGGACTTTCACAAACTTCCCGAGCGGAAGTTGCTGTCCGAAGCTTCCGGCCCCTCTAGGAGTCCACGTCTCGGTGGTGCGCGCTGGCCGCCCAAGCCGCCGGCCGGGCCCCGCCTGTGGTTCCGCCCGAGGTTCCGCCCGGGGTTCCCCCCGGGGTTCCCCCCGCGGTTCCCCACGGGGTTCCGCCCGGGGTTCCGCCCGACGTTCCGCCCGGGGTTCCCCCCGCGGTTCCCCCCGGGGTTCCGCCCGGGGTTCCGCCCGGGGTTCCCCCCGTGGTCCGCCCTGGCCCGAAGGACCCGCCCGGGTCACAGGCAGGCGCCACAACGCCAGGCTAATTTCTGTATTTCCAGTAGAGACGGGGTTTCACCATGTTGGCCAGGCTGGTCTTGAACTCCTGACCTCAGGGGATCCGCCTGACTTGGCCTCCCAAAGTGCTGGGGTTACAGGCGTGAGCCACCCAACCCGGCCCACTTAACCTGTTTTAAAGTCTAAAGGCCTGAAGGTTTCTCCTACAAAGTGAACAGACGGTCACCTGCACCCAGGTGACCAGGTACCAGGCACCCAGTTCCAGCCAGCCAACCAAGGGCGGCCAAGTGTTCAAACCCAGACACGGCTTTCTATGGATTCCAGGTCTTCAGGTAATCACTTATTCAGCCAATTGCCAACCCGAAAATCTTTGAATCCACCCATTACCTGAAAGCACCCAAAGGATGGCAAAGAAATATATTTAAGAGTAACATATTTTGATTTCCTTTGTCTGTCATGCGACGTGCCAGAGTCAGGTTGGAAACTAAGCCACATTATATAGGGTTAAATAAAACCCATCTGATGAAGTACTATGGTTTGTAGGGCAGACTCCCTAGGCCCTTTAGATAGGATCCTGGAGCAAGAGAGAAAAAGATCAGAGTTTAGTCCCCATTGGTAAAATAATGAGAGTGACACGAGGCAGGCAGACAGATGCCCAGGCAGACGGGGGCTGGTCCCCTGTGAAACCCCACCTCCAAGCGGAAGATGGTTTAAAGCCTACAAGCCAAGCTGCAAGTGAAATCCTCCGACCGGATTGAGAACCTGTCTTCCTGTGTGGCGCACCTTCCTCTGACTGATCCCCAGCCTTCACCTATTTTACATGTACCTACCCTTTCCTGATTGGTTTTCTACACCGGCATGCCCACCTTTGAGTGCTGTCTTCACTTTAACCTGTTTTGCATTACTCACAAACCAGTCAGCACGCCCTCCCCGTTCTGAGTCCATTAAAGGTCCTGGGCCCAGCCACACTGGAACTTTCCTGCCTTCCTGTAGGGGACCGCCCTGTGTCCTCTCTCTACTGGAAGCTGTCTCATCACCCAGTGAGACTCCCCGCCTTGCCCACTCTTCGGTTCTCAGAGCCTCCTCATTCTTCTTGGCGATGGACAAGCACTCGGGAACTCAGGTGGAGCTGGCAAGCCGTCTCCTGCAGCAGGTGGCGTGGTCAAGTGAGGCCCAGGCGGGGTGTCGCTGGCCAGAGGACCCTGGCTTGCAAAGTGACTGAGAAAAACATCCTGCATCAATAGGAATGGCTTCAAATTGTTAAATATAATTTAATACTTGTTGATTTGCTGTTACTTATGTTTGTGGTTTTGAGCCTCTGGAATCGGGGGGCTGGACAGGTGGCCATGGCGAGGCCTGGGGACAAGTTCTCAGTGTCTAGAACAACAGCTCCTAGGCAGAATCAAGCCCCATGTGGTCCCCTTTTCCCAGCTTTGCCTCCTGGCTCTTCTGGGAGGGGTTGGGTCCTCTGAGCTCTACACCTAGGATGTGACTTCAGGCCTCAGACAGTGAGGACTCAGACAGCCTTGCCCTTCAGAGTCTGCCTGGGTGCCACGCAGCTACTTGACACCCAGGAGGACTGGGGAAGATTGTAGGGAGGGCACCTGTGTCATAGATTCAAAACTTTTTTTTTTTTTAAGATGGAGTCTGACTCTGTTGCTCCTGGATTCAAGCAATTCTCCAGCCTCAGTCTCCTGAGTAGCTAGGATTACAGGGGCTCGCCACCACACCCAGCTAATTTTTTGTATTTTTTGTAGAGACGGGGTTTCACCACGTTGGCTAGGCTGGTCTCAAACTCCTGATCTCAGATGATCCGCCTGCCTTGACTTCCCAAAGTGCTGGGATTACAGGCATGAGCCACCTTGCCCAGCTAAGACCTCATCTCTTTTTTTTTTTTTTTTTTTGAGACGGAGTTTCACTCATGTTACCCAGGCTGGAGTGCAATGGCGCGATCTCGGCTCACCGCAACCTCCGCCTCCTGGGTTCAGGCAATTCTCCTGCCTCAGCCTCCTGAGTAGCTGGGATTACAGGCACGTGCCACCATGCCCAGTTAATTTTTTGTATTTTTAGTAGAGACAGGGTTTCACCATGTTGACCAGGATGGTCTCGATCTCTTGACCTCGTGATCCACCCGCCTCGGCCTCCCAAAGTGCTGGGATTACAGGCTTGAGCCACCGTGCCCGGCCGTCCTCATCTCTTAAAAAGAAATTTGTGTGTGTGTGTGTGTGTGTGTGTGTGTGTGAATATAAAACGTTGGGAAGAAAAAATCTATAATATTATAAAAGGTATATGGATATCTTACACGGCCAAAAGAGGACATACTTGATAGATTTATTTATAAGGTTTTATTAAAATTAGCTTTCATGTTGATAATACACTGATAGGCTGTGGCTCACGCCTAGAATTCTACCACTTTGGGAGGCCAGCCAAGGTGAGTGGATCACTTGAGTCCAGGAATTCAAGACCAGCCTGGGAAACATGGTGAAACCCTGTCTCTACAAAAACAAAACAAAACAAAACAAAATTAGCTGGTCGTGGTGGCGTGTGCCTGTAGTCCCAGCTACTTGGGAGGATGAGACAGTAGAATCCCTTGGGGCTGGGAGTGAGAGGATGCAGTAAGCCGTAATCACCCCACTGCACTCCAGTGAGAAAGAAAGAAAAAAAGAAAAGAAAGAAAAAAAGACAGGGAAGGAGGGGAGGAGGGAATAATACACAAATACAAACATAAAATGTCATTTTCTGTTTTGAACACAAATTTAGTGTAATATCAATAAGATATAGTAAAATATTTTTGTTCACCTTTTGGGTAAGCTGCAAATAAGAGAGGCAAGAAGAAGAGACAGAGTCTGTCTCATGTCTTTCTCAGGCCTTTTGATTGTTTGGAATACTGAATCTCCTTTCTGTAAAGAATAATGGTTTTTACTTTCTAAAATCTCTTAATTATCTCTTTGGATAAATGAATGACTATTATGTTATTGTAACTGGTGGTCCTGTTTTGGTCAAGTATTTTGAACCTTTGCAGGCTTCCTAAAATCCAATGTCAGCTTTAAAATTAAGTGTGGTGTTTTCTTTTTGGTTTTTTTTGTTTTTTTTTTTTTTGACCTCTTAGCTTTGGGATGCTATAGAGGCCCCCTGCAGTATCTAAAAAAGAAGTAAACAGCACTATTTGATACGTTAAATTATATGGGAAGCATTGTCAAATAGATGATGTTTGATATTTAACCTCCAAGTTATATTTTTATGAATGTTATTAACATATGTTCTAATATTGTATTCGATCCCTAAAATTCTGATATGTCTGGGTATATGCTATCGCTCATAATTATTATTATGCTAAATTATTTTGGCCACAGAAATAACCAGATTTCCTTGTCAATTGTGTCTTTACGCCCATTTTAAGTTTTTCTCATGGTTAATTGCATGATTCTCATGCCGTTTCTGAAAACTTTGCAAGCAAGCAAAATCCTAGAGTAGTGAGTCTTTATGAGGCTCATGAAGGGATGGAAAGGACTCTGAGAAGCACCCTTGATATGGGCTTCAGGTACTTCAGGGTCATATCATTTGGACAGGGCAAGAATTCCCAGAACTCGAATGAAGATTCTGACTGGTTTATAAAATTGTCAACCCAAGCAGGACAAAGTTGAATACCGAGAAAATACCTTGCCAGGTTTTCATGCTAAATCAGCCATTAGTGATATTTTTTAGATGTGCAATTTGAAGGATTCCATGGTTCAAGTCAAATTACCTCTCATAACCTATCAAATAAACAGTGCTATGTGCCTCAATTGGAGAAACAAAATTGGTATTTAAGAAGATATGAGTGGCCGGGCATGGTGGCTTACACCTGTAATCCTGGCACTTTGGGAGGCCAAGGTGAGTGGATCACTTGAGCTTATGAGTTTGAGGCCAGCCTAGGCAACATGGCAAAATCTTATCTCTACAAAATATCAAAAATTGGCTAGACATGGTGGGGTGCACCTGTAGACCCCATTACTCAGGAGGCTGAGGTGGGAGGATGGATTGAGCCCAGGAAGTGGAGGTTGCAGTGAGCCAAGATTGCACCCCTCTACTCTAGCCTGGGCAAAGAGCCAGATCCTGTCTCAACACTACATAAATAAATAAGTCCAGTGTTACATATAAGTCCAATACATAAATAAGTCCAGTGGCTTCATGGAGAGCCTGGATGGACGAATCCTTAAAGCGTCCATTATTAAAAGCTCTGTATTCCATGACTCTCCATGGAAGAGATAAAGTGATACAAGTTAAATAAAACATCTTAGCAATTTAGAAAAGTCACCCTCTATGACCAGTGTTTGGTTTATCAAACCCACAATCCTGGGAAGAAAATCAAAACTTTAGGTATATTTCTGCTACCTGATGGGCCATTTAAACATTTATGGAGGGATGTAATTCAATTGTCATTTTAAATGCACGTTTTCTGGTTCTATAAAAGCTTTCCCATGCAACAGGGCTGACGTTATGACAGTAACTAAAAGGTTATTAGGAAATGTGTTTTTCTCATGGATGTTTCTGGAGAAATCTCCAATGACTGGGGTACTTGTTTCTCTGGATGTGGGAAGTAAAAAAGTTCTTCTTCAAAGTTTCCTTTCATGTTTAAAAAAACCATGTGTTCGAAATTATAGTTTGTTTTTAAATACCTTCTTCAGGCCGGGCGCGGTGGCTCAAGCCTGTAATCCCAGCAC